AAACATGTGGAGTGCTTATTACCATGGTTACTTGTGTTTAGTGATTTATTTTCATAAGGCCTTCTTATACTTCCAAATAAGAAAAATAATACAGTTTGATAAATTTAAAGTTTCAAACAATTTCCTTCTAATATTTATAATAACTCCAAGTTATTGTGTAATAATACAATTTTACTATATATACAGTATATATATATATATAGTTTCCCGATGGGTCAGCGATAAGTTCACGAAGTTATAACTGTAAAATGTGAGGTTTGATTCCCCACGATAAATAAAGCGCTTGTGGTTCAATGCATACTTTTACATAAACAATATTGATATATAACGTTTTTATCTAGTGAGAGACTAGTTTCTTATGTTCATCCAATTCATTCCAAAGTTCGTTGTATTGCACTTACTGTCCAATACAACCTGAAAAACGTATTATAGTCATATAACAAAAAAAACAAAAAAAACTTATTTTTCACACAACACAACACAGAAAAAAATATTGCAATAAATATCATCCAATATACATTAGAGAAATTATTTCTTCTTAAGCCAAGATGATAATTCTAAAAGTTTGTCTTCTATATGCTAACGGCTTCTTTTACATACTAATCAGATAAACTGTAGTAATAATGATAACAAATAAACTGATTTAGGCCCATAACCCGTTACATAAAAACAGTTTACGTGTAAACCAGCATTTCTTTAGTATTTATTTAATAGGCTTTTGTATTCATACTGTCGTAGATTTTGAATTTATTATCAATATTTTAGCAATACATATACGTACATACGTACATCATTCATTTTTTACATTATTTTACGTTTTAAGGATTTACTAATGAGTTATACTTAATTCATTAAATTGTGGACAAATAAGGATAATACATGATACTTATGTACTATGATTTTTAAAATTTCCAAATCGTATCAAAACTGATTTAAGTGTAGCATATTTCCAAAAACTTATGAAACGAAACTACTTTCAAACCTTAATTACCTATATACCAATACTAAGATGATATTAAGATACCCCTTTCTAAAAGTTATAGCTTTTGCTTTCGGCATACCAATACAAAGTTTTCTAAAACATTTAACATATTTTGCAGTTTGCAGGTGTTTCACTACATAACACTGTATCACCTACATACAAAAGACTTGCAACAGCACTTATCTTATTGATAATATAGATTCCAAATTAGTGTTATTTCGTTCGTGTTTTAAGGTCATTCATATTAGTAACAAATAGAAAAGAGCTTGTTATGCAATCTTGACTTGTTCATTCTTCACATTCAATAAATTCTGTTAGTGATTTGTGAGTACTTACAAATTATTTTATTTTTATACATACTCACAATCACTTTAAAGATCTTTTCTTTTAGGCCATTTTCAACAACTTTAATAAGCAACATTTTAGAGAAACATTATCAAAAGTTTTACATAGATTTATGATAGTACAGTAAAGGTTCCCTTTTTTTTAGATAAATGTTATTCGCTTAGACAAGAAAGAGTAAAAGTATGATCAACTGTATCCTGTCTGTTATTCATATAATCTCTAATTTATATCTGCTCAGTTGTTTAATCTAAAAGTTATATATTTTTGTGAATATTTTCCTCACTACAAATAAAATGCAGTAACTTGTGTTTATTGAATTTAAGTTACACTCTTTCATGCGTTAACAACTTCATAGATAAACCTCACCTAACCCTTCGACTTGGGAGTAAACTTCGACATTCTCACATCCAGCAAGGGTATGATGTTTATTTAGAGTGTAACATCGTCGCCAATCCCTGGGTGACTGAGATTGGCTGGAAGTTTGAGGGCCAAGAACTTCAGACAAATACATCGGCTGGCATTATCATCAGTAATCAATCACTGGTGCTACAGAAGGTTGGACGCACCAACAGAGGGCGTTATTCATGCATTGCCACCAATAGTGAAGGCCAAGGTGAAAGCAAATCGCTCCACTTAAAAGTTCAGTGTAAGTAGTGCTAAATAATAATATATCTTTTATTAACTTTCAACACGTCCCCCGCAAAAAATAATAATATATATATAATAATGCTTTATGTCTATTTCGCGTTCTATTACTTGTTCGTAAAACGTAAAGCATTATTATTATTTATTTATTTTAATAAAATTTTCAGTTGAGGAAAATTTATTAAAGAAAAGATTGCTTTAAACTACCTTAGATACTTTTTTTTTACTTTGGTCATTTTTACTATGTAGTTTAACGAGTCAAAGTATAGCTGTAACATATTTTAAAATTATTTCTGACATGATTTACTTACAATTGCTATTGAACAGGGCATGGTCTGTAAGTTAGCATGCCCGATTGTGAATCTGAAGGTCTAGGGTTCGCGTCCCCTTGCCCAAAAAAATTGCACTTCACTATCTGGGGCCATAGGTAAATTGTAAGATTAATAGTGAAATTCGATTATTGTTGATCCAGAGTTGGCGTAGGATGCTGTTAACTATCTCTAACCTGTCAATTCCAAATTAGGGACGTCTAGCACAATCAGCCATTGTGTAACTTATACCCGAATATCCATCCAAAACAAGCAAACGAACAGTTGCTATTGTCATGATCAACCTGAAAGTTACTTTGTTGCATCAAATAGTCTAAGTGACCATATTCTAACTTTCTAATCCTTAATTTAGAAATACTGACGAGAGTAAAGCAAACAGTAAACAACACCGTCGACTACGAGGCTGCTTGAACCAAAATCAGGTTTGTCTATCAGAGTTATAATGTCCCCGAACTTAAAAGTACGGAACGTTTTCAGTGGAATATCGTGGCTGGAACCTTAGACCTTTCCATTTGCAGACCAGCCTGCTTGGCACTAGGCCACACCCGAGCCTTAATTACAAACACAAGAGACTGTAGTAATATATACTGAGCCATTCACGTGAATAATTAACCACTCTATTTGTCAGTAAGTTACCCAGCTAGAAATTATACATTCTCGAAGAGAGACTAATAAGTAAAACTAGTATATAGAAAGGATAAGAAGTTTATTTTTACCTGTATATATTGTAATAGCCGGGTATGACACAATAGGACTGTTTTATGTATGCATACACAGATTTGCTTAGTGTTAAGGAAACGTTGTATTACCTTAATGAAATTATTTTTACGATTTCTTCTATGTAGTTCAACTCATAATTCATAATTTAATTTTATTATAAGAAAAAACTTTTCAAAAAAGGAAGTAAATGTAGGGATCATTCCTACATAATAATACAGACACACAGTGTAATACAATGTTAACAGACACAAATAGAAAATATTAAACTCAATTGTGAATGAATAGTTATATATATATATATATTGCTATATGTTAATTCTTACCTGTGTTGTTATGTAGGATGGTGCAAATGTCATCCCCACTATCTTGTTTCCATTGTTTTTGGATAATTGAAGTTAGCCATCCTTACGTTTACTTCCTTTTTTGATAAATTTTCTTCACTTGTTGTTTTTTTTAATTAATGTAATTTTTAATAGACATAGGAAGGTTATATTTATAACCAGGTTCTAAATACAATGGGATTCCAACTGTAATATTTGTTGTTTAAATATTATTGGGTGGTAATTCCTGTTTCACCCTGTACTTAAGGTTTGTAAAGGAACACGAAATTTCTCTAAGAAAGCTAGGTTCAAGGGGCAATAATAACATCGTTTACACTATAAGTATTATTATTATTTCATAGTACTAGTTATTGATAATACTTCGTTTGAAATTATGTCACCTCAGTGAAATTGGTTGACACCATTGTTTTGTTTTTGAGTTATCATGTAATAAAAAAGAAGCAGAAGAAAGAAGAACAAGAAATTCAAACTTTTTGTTATGATATTTACAGACATTCCCAGAACTTGTGACTCAGTCATTATATAGATATTGTTATAAAAGGAAACACTGTATAGTATTGTAAAGTTCTGATGACCTATTGAGGAGATATTTAAAATACCATTTCGATGAACAATCCGAGCCATCCCTATCCCAGTGCTACCTCCTGCTTTATAATATAGTCAGATACTTATTTTGATTTTCGCTTGACCTTTCAGTTGCTCCAAGCTGTAAAAGTGATCAGAAAATAGTGCACGGAGCTGCTCGGCATGAATCCGTACAAGTTCTGTGTGAAGTTGAAGCAGACCCTGGCAACGTTTCTTTTTACTGGAGATTCAACAGTACCAAGGAAATTCCAGGTTTATTGACATTTACTAGTAATGAAACCAGAAGCACAGCGACATTCATCCCTCGCACGGAACATGACTACGGAACCCTGCTTTGTTGGGCAAGCAACAAAGTCGGTGTTCAAAGAAAGCCATGCCTTTTCAAGGTTGTCCCTGCAGGTAATATCAAATTTTATAATTACAATTCACTCGCTTAATCTTGATTACACCATAACAGTTTTTGGTCATGAAAAACTGATGTTACGTATAGCGTCAATACCACTACTATGTCTGTCGTACCCCAGCCAATATTAAAAGCTCTGGTATTGGGCAAAAGAACTCGTTGGCACGAAATATGGTAGGTGTAATAATGTGATTGATATGTTATAGCATATTCTCCTTTACTTTCACTCATGACCACTTAGAATTACTAATTAATTTAACTATTAGGCTTTTTAGGTCCTGTTTGATATTTAACGGTAACTATACTAACGTTGACCTATAATTTTCCACATTAGAAGCCTGTCGCTATTTATAAAATACCATTTTTGTTGCCAAATGCAAATCGTCAATTTGTTCTAGGTTTACTTGATTACTATTCAAAATATAAATTGAGGTTAAAGTTTATCTTACGTGTAAATATTCAGCCAATGACGATATCTTAAATATGTTTTTAACACCGTTTGTAAGTTTAGTAAAGTCTTACGTGTAGACGTTTAGCATATAAAAGCAAAGCTAAAAACTTGAATATTTTTAACTATGTTATAAGACATTAATCATCGATTTCACACCACAGGTGACATTAAAATGTGATATACGTATGTCAAAATTTGCAATATGACTGAAAAACAGTTCAACAAAAAGTAAACTCCTTACAAATGTAATGAAATATTATTATAAAGAAACATTTTAGTTTAGCAATCTTGTCATTTACTATATAGTCAAATTTGAACCTTCTTATGAAGAGAATAAACATATAATGCGTGAGAAGCGAAGAAATAAATGTGTTGTAATCTTTGTTGCAGACAAAAACAAAATTTGCCTTTAATGTTTCTATGCTGCTACAAAAACGTATTATATTGGTGCCTTACACAGAGTATTGGAAATTAGTTATAAAAACTGATAAGTGAAGCATACATAAGTTTGTTTGTTTGTTGAATTTCGGGCAAAGCTACTTGAGGGCTATCTGCGCTAGCTGTCCCTAGCACCAATTCTTAGGTTAATCTTTATCAATTACTAGTGGGATTGGTCATCATGTTATAATGTTCCCACAGCTGAAAAGAGAAGCATGTTCGGTGAGAGGGTTATAACCCGCGATCCTAGATTGCGATTCGAGCGCACTAACCATCAGGCCATGCTAGAACATACAGATAACAATGAATAATACAACTAAACGGCCAATTTTGTCATTACTAATATGTATGAATATACAAAAATAGATAAAATGAAAAGCGTGTATAATGCTCTAGAGTAGAATGCCTTGTTTTCACGTTACCATACGTTTATCAATGTGAAATATTATTCTAAATTCTCCCATAACGCTCACAATTCAGCAAAATGTTTTGTTTGGTGTTTGATTTTCACACTTTCCGCTTATAAAGGTTCATTGATAATCATATTGATACTTTGTTCACGACAAGTTATGGTTGCGAGTGTTCCGTTTCACCACATTTGCTACATGCTTGGTACAACTAACTTGCTGGAAGATAAATTCCAGCCCAACAACGCAATAAGGCTGCGTTCAATTTTTTTGAAAATGTACAGCAATACTGGCTGAGATACAGCGTGCTTCAATGTAAAAGTTGTATATTGACCGTGTTACCGTTCTCCTTTCTACTATCGAACAAACTATTGTTTATTGTTGCCATTCCATTGTTTAAAGTTTGATACTTTTTGTGTTATTTATCTCTTATAAGTAGTGTATATCATAGGTAATATGTATCTTACTGTTCTGGAGGTAACATTCACACGTTTAGTTAAAGCTAGGTCATTGACAATATCTTTATTGTCAAAAGCATATACTGAGTTCTTAAGACCACTTTAAAAATAAACTAGGCTTTTAATTTCAACTGCTACTATTATCAACATTACTCGTTTAACTACCCTCTTCAAAATGTTCATACAATTCCTACTGAAACAATAAATTTCGCCTAGACTTGTAATATGCACTAACATTCACTAACCTAGACTATGGTTTCCACACGTTTATCACGTGGCTTTTCTGTCTTAGGAAAAACATTAATGCAAATACACACTACTACTGGGAATAGTAGGGCTCCTTGTATTTTTATGGGCATTATGTTAGTGTGTGTGAAATTGATTAGTTGAACGACAGCCAGTCACAATGTAAACTGTTAACACGTGACTGTCTTCTGGTGCAGTTTTCATAAAATAGAGAGGGTACAGTTTCATTTTGTTCATTATTTCAATGATTATTCTAATGTTTTATATCATTCTTGTTGATTCATTATAGATTTCATGGTAATAATGATACTCGTGAAAAGTGCCTGACGGTATAACATTTTTGTACTCTAAAATATAAACTTGTAAACGTCATTATTTATAAGAACCAACACTAACAGTGACAGTTTTATCCGTATAAAAAAAGAAATATTGCCTGATACGTGAAATAATTTAATGTAACCCCTTAAGTTATATGAAAATAAAAAATTTCTCTAAATAATGTTGTTTATGACAATTATTCTGTAACAGAAAATTATGTTTCTACTTAATAAAAATGTAAAGTTGTCACAATATCTTGTCACAAAAATAAACATGCACTGCACCTTTTTAAATGCAACCTCCGCTAGATTTTGTTAAACAAAACCTTATATTTTATATCACAAAAATGGCTGTATGTTACGTGAACCTGGGCCAAACATTTTATATCAAAAAGTCTTGAAAACATAAACAATATTTTATTTTTTTTTTTGCTTTAGCCTCCAGTGAAAATTAAATTGTCTTTTCGTAGGTCCTCCTGATACGGTAAAAAATTGTTCTCTGCGAAATCAAACAGAACATGTTATTGAAGTGGAGTGCATAGAAGGATATAATGGCGGGCTTTCACAATATTTTGTAATGGAAGTGCACGACAAGAACTTCCAAAAACTAAGAGCCAACTTAACAGCTCCTGATCCAAGCTTTCAAGCTGATAATCTTCCGGCAGGAACTAACTTTCTAGTCGTGGTCTACGCCGTGAATGCTAAAGGACGCAGCCACCCTCTTGTTATGCGAACAAGCACCTTGCCAGCACCGCAGACACAGTCTAGAAGAGGTAAGCAGAAAAAAAGGCTACATTATGGTAAAACATGCTATAGGGTTTGGAGAGAAGATTATATGCAGCGAGTACTAAGATAAAGTTGTGACGATTGGAACCAATCGCTGTTATTGTTAGTAACTACATGATCACCTAATAATCAATATATATTATTCTTTTGTTACTATTTACTAATTACTTTATATTGTACGATACTAATCTGATGCTGGCTTCACAAATCCAATAATGATGACATATCTCAACAGACATTTAACATACCATTTACAATGGAAATAGAAAAGAATAACAAACTTTCATTCCTATATGTAATGGTTACTAAGTCACATAGTTCATACACCAGAGGAGTTTACAGGAAATTAACAGATAGTGGTTACATGTAATGGTTACTAAGTCACATAGTTCATACACCAGAGGAGTTTACAGGAAATTAACAGATAGTGGTAAATAAGCCAAATATAAATCAAATAACCATACAATCGTCATAGGTTGCCTAGTTGGCTGGCTTGTAATACAGAAGATGCTAAGAAGAAGGAAGAAAATTACATCACTACAATCCTCATTGATAATGGATACACTGAACACTATAAAGAAAAACACCGTGGATAATAACTTATAATAAATTATATTTCTTTATGTCAAAGGTATATCTGAAAATGTACAGAGTATATGTAAACAGCATAGAGTCAGAACAAAAAAGGAGGGAAAACATCCTTTACAACATCTCTTGTGAATGTGGATCTCAGGGGCATAACATACAAGTTTTTGTAATACCGATCCATCTACTATATTTCCATCATGTCAGAAAAGAAAATCACACATTAAAATGGAATAATATGGAATTAATGGTATATGAAGCACACATGAAGAAACAGAAGACACAGAAAGCCTTCTACATCCACCTAACTGATAACACATATTTAGATGACCTTGGACAACAAAACTTGAAAGCATGAAAATAGTTATATAATCTTAAACTGTCGATACTTGGTGAAACTTCATAATCACAAAATATAGGAAACAGTCAACAGTTCAACAGTCATTTGTGTTAAGTGAAATAATACTGTAACTAATTAATAATAATAATTATGTGATTGTATAGACTACTAATTCTGGAAATAATAGACAAAATTCAATTAACGGTAGCTAACATCTCATAAGTTATGAAACGGAAATATAATGAATTAATTTAATCAAAATATTCATTCATATATTACATTTTAGTTTTTCACATGTATAAATTAATGTCCTTTTTTATGTATAAAGTTTAAAGATTTACTTGATGGTACAAGCTATTACACTGTCGATTGACATTATTTCTAAGACAAATGCACACAAAACTGACTATTGTAGAAAAATAGTTAATAGTAAGTATATACGATTTGATTGTCAGAATATTTACAACCCGTTGGGACAGAACTGTTAATAGAACCTCGGTAAAATAAGTCAACATATCAGAGCTTTCTCAAAGTACACACACTTTCAGATCAACTTAGCTCTTTACAACGCATGTATTATCAGCAATGGTTACAGTATATGTCTAATTTACAAGTATGCCATTATTTGTTTTCTGTACACGATTTTAGTCTTTCGTGTCAGAATGTGTTTGATTACCAAGTATCTTGATATCAGAACAGACTTAATGTAAGTGTATACGTATGCTACACATTTTGAATATGGTATAGTTTCGAGTTATTTTCAAAGTCAAATAATTATTACGAAACATAGTAAGTCACAATATTAAACTATGTTTCACATTATAGTAAGAGAACTAAAGATATCTTCCCTTAATGATCATCAAGTCATGTTTTTACAAATATATCAGTCTTATTTGTAAGATCTCAGTCAACCTTAAGACTTCAACAGTCACTGTTATCAGGGTTGTAAAAAGAAAAACCCGACGGTCTAGAATGAAATATATGCAAATAGTCTAAGACGTAGAATGTATACAAGTTTTCAAATTTCAATATTTTCAACTTGAATAAAGCTAACTTAACTTACTCTGTAAGATGGAAGTTAGGTTTTCCTACCTTAACCCACGCATACAGCGTTAATACTTTGGTACTTTCTAAAATCTTAAATCGAGAGTCAATCATACGGGTTGTTTTGGTCATCAAAAAAAAAATCTGGCAATGTCAAACGATGATAAAGGCACTAAAATTGTATTTACAATAATTTAGTTTTTGAAGCTTTTGAAGATGACCATCATTTCATTTGTTGCAGATAAATTTGAAAATTACTTCTTCCCCCGTTTGTGCCAGGATTTCATCGAAAGGTCATTGTCTTTTTTCAAATAAGTGTATCTATACAATACCTGTTTTTAGTGCTAAAGTAATCAATATACACTGAGAGAATGTTCGAAGGTAGTTTTTGTCGTAGTCTCAGTTACAAGTGTAAGGTATGATGTTTACATGAAATTCAAACGTTGAGGATGCGTCACAAATGGGTTAGCGGTGAGAAAGAAAGGTTGTCAAAAATGTTCAAATCCAATCAAAAGAGGACAATACAATGGCGAAGCAGAAGGAATAGTAAAAAATAATTTCTTTGTTTTTCTTTTACTAACCATGTTCATTGTATTCAATAATTCAGTGGTTGAAAGACTTAGATATGATTATTCAAACCTCAAACAACGGAAGTTAAAAGACATTGTTGAATAACATTTATTGTTGCTTCTAAAAAGTGTGCAGAATATTTTAGATGGCATGAACATGTTGAAAGCCATTCTCACGGTGCAAATCAAGGTGAACATGGAATGGCCCTGAATAAAAGTAGCCTTGTTATGGGAAGTCTTTTCATCAACACCAGAAAAAAACTGTGAGGTTCATTTCATTTATCGAACCCTAAATTTCTTCAAGGCTTTGTATGAGAAATACTTGTACGATCGACTGACGATTTTAGAATTACAAACAAATAAAAGAAACAGGCGGTACCTGTATAAACTTTGCCAAGATCTTGAGTTACTGGTTTATATGTATGATAAGTTTTTCTTTTTTGTAGATTGTCATATTATAAGATAAATCCAATCTTTGATATCTCTAAAAAATTTTTTTCTGTTTTAAATACTTGAATATTACTCGTTGCTGCTCTTGTTTTCAGACACTCTCTGGCAGATGCGTTTCAGTCCAGTCTTGGTTGTACTAGTTGGTATAGTTGCAGGCCTGGTGCTCATTGCTTGCATCATAGTCATAGTGATGAAACTTAAAGCTCGTTACTACAGACAGAAAGGTAAGTAGTAGTTTCATCAACTACCCATTACTTTTAAAACAATTATGTTTCGACTAGCTATACATGTTTAAAATAATTAGCACATATGATATTACAAATAAAGAATGTTAAATAAAGCCTTTTTTTATTATTCAATTTCTAGGTGAAAGGACAACGGACCTTACAGTCAAAGAAAATGAAACTAACAACTGGGCAAACAACAAAAGACCGAACGGAATTAGCGACACTTATAAAAGTTGGGACCCCGTAGACAGTGAAAAGGTATGCTGGTACTTCTTGTATTGTTACGTTGCAATTTTTACATAGAAGAAAAACGTTTCCCTCAGATTCCTTGCGTAATGAACACAGTAATTCTGATCCAACACTTACAATCTAATTTCTTTAGACATCCGGCATGGTCAGAGGCTTAGGACGCTTGACTCGCAATATGAGGGTCGACTCCCCGTCCCACGAAACATGCTCGGCTTTTCAGCCGTTGGGGTGTTATAAAGTTGCGATCAATCCCATTATTCGCTAGTAAAAAAGCAGCCCAAGGGTTGGCGTTGGGTGGTAATGACGTCCCCCTAGTCTTTCACTGCTAAATTAGGACTTCTAGCGGAGATAGCCTTCGTGTAGCTTTGCGCGAAATTCAAACCAAACTAATTTCTTGAACTTTACTGACAACTCACAAATGTTATGATCTGGCAACGACAATTTTACGTACTTATTCTCATATACATTAAAATTAAAAACAAAGAAGGTAGGAAAGGAACCGTAGAATAAATTAAACATTCTAATTTTAAGCGCTAACGTTTTACAATTACACACAGTCGCATCTGCGTTTTTATTTCTTTACCAATTACTTGTGTGCATATACTTATAATTTTATTCACACTATTTATCTTAATTGCTATGTAATTTGTCGAATATATAAATATAAATATACACTAATAATTAAAAAATATTCAACATTTTATTTATTTATTGTTTATTATTTTTTTACTTTTAAGATTGCGAAATAACTTCTGTGTCTTATATCATTTTTCAGGCATTTTCAATGGTAACACACATCCGTACATCATAAACTTCTTATGTTTTCAATGAACGTGGGTTGCGATATATCTGCCTCTGCCGGTTATTGTGTTTTGGCTTACGACAAGAAATATTTTCTAAATGGAAATAACTATATACTAAACACATTTTTCTCCCAAAATTTAATTAACCCTTTTTGACGAGTGGTGCTCAAATTAATTAATAAATCCTCAGAAAGCTTTATGTCATTTGAAATCCTATACTGCAGTAAGAGGATCATAATTTACATATTCAGTGTATTTACGTGTTCATAAACGAATGAAAGAGCATTTTGCTCAAATTTCTTTATGTGCGAATATATCCACATACATTTATCCAATGATACATCAAGTACACAAAGCGATTATTTTATTAATATAACTATAATTAAATATGTATATTTAAGTATGCGTTAATTTCCGGGAACGAATAGTTTCTATCTGTTCTCAAAACTAATTTGTATTCTGTACAAAAATATTAATCTAATATGCACATCATTAAACAATATGGCAGCGTAATCAGGAAATCATGCGTTTGATACATTATGAAATATATAAAAAAAAACTTTTTGTAATTTATATTTTATCGTAGCGTATGTTGTTCGATATAGACGTATGTTACATGATTTATTACCTCTTTTGATTAGTTTCTTCTGTTTCTAACTGTATTTATAATTTATTCTGTTTCCTGCGATGTGTTTATATTGTATTACGCAACATTATCCTTTGAAATGCCGAACTCAATATTTTCTCTCAAGGTTATAGAAGACTAAAACGCGTTTAGTGTGTGTGTGTGGATGAATACATAAAGCCAAGTTGTTTATTACTGTGCATACTAACTATACTTTATATAGAAAAGTAAAAACATGCATGTAATTTGAAGGGCTCCTCGTCATAAACAGTGTCTTTTTGCGCAGGAGGTAATTCGTTAAGCGAATATTACGATCTTGTAAATATGATAATATAAGTTTTTAGAAAAATATTCTAATATCAGTTGCTAAATTTGAACAACTGAAGAAAGTTAGGGGTGCAAAACTAAATGGAACATTAACAAATACATCTTTGTTCCACAAGTCTTTGTTGTTATGGCATTCAGTAACCATCTTTCAATGTATAATACAACAAACTTACATTTGTTCCAAAGAAAAGCATTTTGGTCAAATCTACAGATGAGATTATTAAAGTATTCACAAAGGATATTCACTTTTATAAAATGATCAAAATATATGTATTACTACAACATAATCGAACGATAAGTAACAGTGTACATTATGTTTCAGCAATATATGCATTACTAAATATTGTATTTTGATAAATATTCACTATTACGATATTTAATGATACGTCTTAATTCACGGCATGTTCGATCGATATGAACATGCTTTGACCAGAGAAAGGTGTTGATTTGACAGACCTTTTTACTGTATGATAAAAATGTATTATTTGAATAACAGCTTAATGTTATAATCGTAGTTCAAGTTAATGCCACAGCAGACTGGGTTCTAGCAAACTCAATTCGTATTTAGGACGAGCTTGGCTAAGGTGTCGGATAATGTGAGGCCATCATTCGTGTCCCATTACTTTGTGCTCAATTTTGGGGTCTAGGTGCGCTGTAAGCAAATGGTGAAATAACATTATTCGTACATACAAATAGCCCAAAAGCTGGTGGTAGAAGTTGTTGACTAGCTTTCTTTCTGTCTAACTTATTAGATCAAAATTAGGTGACGGCTAACGCAGATATTTCTTGAGTAGTTTTGCGCGAATATCTGAAAGCAAACAAATAGTCATTTATCTTAAAAACAACCAGACAAAAATGATCAGTTAAAACTGCACTAAAATATCAAGTAAAAATATATTTACATCCACACTCGCGAAATCGTCAGGTTGAAATTTCAAGTAATAATGAAAAAGGCTCTGTTCCATGGCTCTTTGTCACAGATGCGTAACAGAAAGGCAAGAGTAAAATATTGTTTGTACAAAAAATACTCATTGTTAAAGTGTTAATTATATGCACATTATTAAATTAGGCTGCTATTTTACGTAATATACATATATTGATAAGCGTTTAGTTTAGCACAACATCCAAACATTATATGAGTGAAATTCGTGCAATATAAAAGTATATTGGAAAAATACAAAACCTGCTACGTGACCAGCTAAGAAATAAATATTAAGTTGTACAGTACTAGCTGTCATCAGGCCAGTCAGATTGGAAAAATACAAAACCTGCTACGTGACCAGCTAAGAAATAAATATTAAGTTGTACAGTACTAGCTGTCATCAGGCCAGTCAGATTGGAAAAATACAAAACCTGCTACGTGACCAGCTAAGAAATAAACATTAAGCTGTATACTACTAGCTGTCATCAGGCCAGTCAGATTGGAAACAAAAAAAATCACCGATTAAAGATTTGTATATATTTGAAGATGGAAGCAAGTTTGATTAATCTCTACACTTGTTCATCTTGACAGAATAATTGAATATAATACACTCTTAGCACTTAGTATTTAATTATTTACTAAATCCATTAATTCTATAAGCATAGATGATCGCACACAAATGGTAAGTTATAGTTTAAAAGAATATATTGTGAAAACTTCAGGAGACAAACGTAATTAATAAACCCAGTGTCGCTGACATGCAAACCCAAATAATAGTAAAAATTGTATGTAGTTTGTTCTAACTCTCATTGTTTTACTATTTTTGGTTATTCTTGTTCTAAAACATTTTCTTACCCGTGATGTCTTTCTAAATGACTTTTTAAAAGTTTTTTTTTTGTTCCGATCAGATTCGGAGAGACAAGAAGTGAGATGGTGAAATCGATATGTACGTTAGAATGTTTATATGTGCATGTGTTGGTTTTCTTTTTAACATGTAATTAGCTACAGAAAAACAAAATAAAACAACAACGGCAACACAGTTTTAGGATGAGGATTTGAAATCAGATTAAAATGTGGTGTCTCAGGATTGATTCTGAGGAATTTGCGTTACCTTTCCAGCCGGAAATGAAGAGTTTTTTGCGTGTGTTTATCCCTCATCAGACACACGAGTAAACGATTTGCAGCCATGAGATAAAAGTTTTGTATTATGCTGTTGGTAGCTATCAATACTTCGCGATCGATTTTTTTTTTTGTCGCTATCACGTGAAACGTAATGAGCCGACATTACATTTTTAACTGTTCTTTCTATCTGCCTGTCCATTAGGGAAAGTTTGAATTTTTAAAATAAAGTTTTGATGAAAGAAAATCGCACTGTTGTGAAAGGGAATTATCAACTTCATTGATGAATTATGAAAAAAAACCTTTTAATGATAGCAATGTATAATTAGACATAAAGTGACAGTTTCGTATTTCTTAATAATCCATCTGATTTATCATTACTAAATATATGAAGTAGGTGAATCATTACATTTTTGGTGCATTTCAACTCCTCCTATTACCCAATGAGGAAAAATGGGAACAAAATATATGCAGTGTACAACGTTGATTCGAGCAAAGCATGTGGATATTCTTAGGAACTAAAATTGTGAAGAAACATTTTATTACGATTGCTAATAATTGTAACATTTCAAAAATTAACTATATTAATGCGAAGTTATGGAAAGATCATTTCATCATTAAGATTTTAAATCAACTTTGTTATTTGTATACTGATGCCAATAAAAGAAGCTGAGTCTCGATAGGCGAGAATTTAATTTGTAATTTATGTGCTGATGCCAATGTGGAAGCTGGGACTCGAGAGCCGAGAGTTTAATTGTCGAAATTAACTGCATCAATGTTTAATTAAGTGTTAACAATAATTAACCTGATTATTCTGGAGTTCTAAATTGCCACGATGACCTGGAAAATCCTGCTCTTCATTCTGTGTATCGATTTAATAAATATGAATGACACAATGAGTACATAACAATTTAATTATAAATTTCATCAGGTTATATAATTATACATACATGACATAAAACATTATACAGGGCCCTGTAGAAAACTGGCTTACAGGGATAGCCATCGTCTTCTGTTTGTAAGTCATTTGAACTGTATGAATATATCTTGTGGAAGCCCATGCTTTCATTCATGACAGGTTATTTCTTCTTCACTATAATTTACTTGTACTCTTTGACTCTAGTTTTGAAAAGAAGACATTATTGTAAACTGCATGATACCTGGCGTATTTGGATGACTTAGATTTCGATGTAAATAACGATCGTCTCAGTAC